TTTGGGGTGGCGTGTTTTACAGCGCTTTGCCAACAGCGCCAACCCACTTAAGTCTAGAGAGGGGGGGGGGGGGAGAGGGTTATTCCTCTTTTGACGTGGGGAGGTCTTGGCTTCGTTGTTGGCATCGGAGTACTTTACATCCGAAGTCTGTTTCTGCTTCAAACCTTACCTTCACTGCCTTCGTTTCTTGTTCACGACGGGTCTTCGTTTCAGGCTCGTTTTTGTGTGTTGAAATGTTTTGCTGCGGTTGGGCGGGGGTGCTGTTAAACTTCAGAGTCAGGTTAGTGTGAGTTTGCCTTAAAAAATGAGAGGAAGGTCGCCGTGTGTTTTCAATATACTAAGTACTATTCCTAGAATGTTTAATTGCTCCAAGATCGGCGTGCTCGGTAGCTAGGACGAGCCCGCAGAGCCGGCTGTTCTTGATGGTTATTGGTTGCCTTTGTCGTCGTCGTCGTCGTCGTCGTCGTCGTCGTCGTCGTCGTCGTTGTACGCTTTTGTTGTTCGGGCAATATGTTGCCAAGCCAACCCGAATGAATCGCACATCAACTCCACCCCTTTCGCAGTAGTTCCCCAAGCCTTTAGTAGGTTACCCCCGCCCCTCCGCCCCCCTGACACACAATGTCCCCCCATGTCTCCCCCGCTCTCTGTGCCTACACATAAGGCGGGCGAATTTTTCCAAAATAACCCGTACGTGCTACCGCACATGGTGGACTACGTGGTAGCGAGGGCTAAGGAAGGAGGTGCCAAGAACCTGATCGACGCCTACTGCGGTGGTGGATTGTTCTGCCTTTCGGCTAGTACCTCCTTCGAGAAGTGTGCCGGGATCGAGATCAGCCCCATGGCGGTCGACTGCGCCACGCGTAACGCTGCTACCAACGATATATCGTGAGAAACAAATTGCACCGAGTACATTGAGAATAAGAAGAAGGGCATGCGGGAGTTGTGGATCGTGTGCGAGACGGGTGGCCATTGAACGAGCCCCAACTTCGTCGTAAGAGTTGTGTTAGAGTCTCAGCGACGTCTCGTCAGACAGCAGTGTTGAGCGCCGTCCATTGCACGACACTCGCATGTTTAGCTGGTGTTTGATTGCATGGTGTTTTGGATGGTGTGTCGTTAGAGAGTACAAGTGTATGAAGTATCGCGGCGTTTTTTACGTATTCTATTTTCTCGTTCGCCACGGCGGAATCGTTGTTCTTGGGTTTCCTGCCGGGAGGAGGCAGTGTAGACTGTCAAGGGAATCTATTGAGTTGGTTGCTTTTCTCCTCGAGACACTATCATCGGTTGTTGTTGAACTTGTTGATATTGTGTCACTGACGTCGATGCTGCGGATGCTAGCTAATCGTTGGTTGTGCTGTTGGTAGTGACGTTGTATCATAGATAATAACACGTCGTAGATTACGTTGACGGCTTTGATTGCTACTGCCGGTGATATCCACATTTTTTTTTCCGCGGTATCACTTTTTCTTTCGGCTATGATGACTTTTATGGCCCGAGCAGGAACTGCCTGTTCTTGGCGGGGACAGCATCCAACATCTTCGCCAACGTCTCGTTCACGCCAAGCGAGACCGTGGTCATCGTCGATCCTCCCAGGTCAGGAATCGACATCAGTCGTTCGTTCTTCACCTTGCGAGCCTCTTGATACTCAGAACACTCGTCTCGAATGGATCAAATAAAACGTTGACCTAAGTGCTCATTTGGACCCTGTTTTGAATTTCTCTCTTGCCCCACATCTTTAGAGTATAGTGACGGTTATTCTGATCTCTTTCCACTCCATATCCCCACAAACCTGTCTACTGCTGTGCATGTCCTCCTCCTCCACATCGAGACAGCCTCCGTAAACCCTGGCGAGACCTGGGAGGACGTTGCACCTTGACTGACCCTTCTTTCAGACGTGTTGTTTGTGTCTACGCGTAACCATTGCTGTCGAATCAAGGCCAGAACGCAAACTTGACGGAGGTGCTGATCAGAATGGGTGCCCACGTGAATATGCCATAGCAAGCGTCTCCCCACAAACATAACTTATTTTTGGTTCTTGTAGCGGTTGCAACGGGCTAGCGTTGATGGCGCTACACTTCTGCTGCGGGAGCTTTCCCGCAAGCTGGCGGAAGGTGATAATTTTGGCATGGAACGAATTATGCGGAATCGATCTTCGGAAGCATTGCAGGTCGTCGCCATACGGTGTATGGCCGTTTGCTCATGACAGTAGAATCGAGCAGAAGTGGAGAGCAGGCAAACGCGTTGGGGAATGGGCGATTCGGTGTACCTTTTCAGCCGTGCTGTCCAAAAGCAAGATAGTATGGGATATTATATCTACCGGTTTGACCCTGGGACCGGGACAACCAAAGCGTGCTGTTTCTTACGACCCGCAAGGCGTTTATTCTGCATTCCTTGGTTGTGATTCCCTGTCCTTTCCATGTTGGCAGGAACGTCAATTCATCTCGGTGATATTACGTACATAGGAATATTGTTATGCGAATGGCTGGCTGTGACGAAACCCCCAACTCACTGGTAATCTCGCACACATGACAAGACTGGGTTCGAAATTGTTGCTGCCGTCTGTTGCTTGTCATCAACCGCTCTTTGGCGCTCTCTTTGTGCTGATGTCGTTCGCACATGTATGAACATGTACTCCAGGAAAGGGTGCGATCAGCTATTCTTGGGGCAGCTGTTCAAGTTCCGACCGACTAGGCTGGTTTACGTTAGCTGCGACCCCGCCACCCAGGTAAAAACGCCGACAGCCCTGTGGGACCTCTCTATTTCTTTGTACCCTCTTGGCGAGAGCACAAACCATCATGCGTTTGTCGCCAATACCCGGCTTTTGGCAGTTGTTCTAGGTCTGGATTGTATTTTTTTGGGTACGACTCCACATGCCTGTTTCTCATGCCCTTCTGCTGCCGTATTCTTCACGTACATGGTAGAATCAATCCAATCCGCCCCAACAGCAGCAGTCGAGTCTCAAAGTTTGGTGTGACTCATGAAAAGGGCTGATTTCTCAGAGATATTGTCGTATGGGTTGNCTGCTGCCGTATTCTTCACGTACATGGTAGAATCAATCCAATCCGCCCCAACAGCAGCAGTCGAGTCTCAAAGTTTGGTGTGACTCATGAAAAGGGCTGATTTCTCAGAGATATTGTCGTATGGGTTGCGGCCGGCGCTGCTGGTCTAGTTGGCTATGATTCTACCTTAGGGTGGTAGAGGTCGGGAGTTCGAATCTCCCGTAGCGTCGATCTTTTTTGGAGGTGAAACTTTTGCTTCGCCTATCCTGCTCACCTGTGAAAGTACCAGCATAGAATAAATATGCCTTGTCCTCCACGCGCAGCGTCACATTTTATTTAGGACCAAGCAAGGTGTATCTTTTTTACTTCTCTGCACTCTTCTTCCGAACGGTTGCGACTTTGAAATTCATTTGTGGCTCTGCTGTTCGTTTGCCGTTTTCGAAAGCAGCTAGCCTTGGTGTTCGCTTGCCCCGCTGCGTCATGCAACCTCGCTCACTGGTTTTCGACGTTGCTCTGCCGTGTGTCTTTTTCTCCGCATGCACTGAATCGTCAACTTAACACAACCAGGCTCGAGACGCCAAGGAGATAACGGCCAACGGGTACGAAGCGGTGGACATCCAGCCGTTCGATCTCTTCCCGCAGACTCGGCACATCGAGAACGTAATCACCTTCCAGGACACCCGGAAACGAGATTAGACTCCGAAGGTTTCCAATGTTGGGACAAAATTAACAAACTTGACGCCTTTGGGGGGGATTGAAGCGCGTTGTTGTGGGTTGATTTTGTCTTCACAATTGGAAACCGTGCCTTTGTTTGCTCCGTGGCATGTGTGTGTGTGTGTTTCTTTTTTTTTTATGTTATACGTGATCGGCTGAAGCTCGCTCGCTCGTGTTGCTCCTCTTCGAGGATGTGGGATGCTTTTGGAAAGCACGGGAAGAATAAATCAGCCAGCATCCCTGAAGACCTTGTTGAAGACGGCCTTGTTGATCATGCTCTTGGACAGCAATGGTTGCTGTTGCGTTGCTCTCCCAGGAAAAATAAATTGGGCGGCGCCTCCTGCAGGAGGGCAGGGGGGGGCGTCTAAACTCATCCCAGGATGATTCTATCCCGGAAAGTTGCAGCTCCTGTCGTTCACCCTATTTCAACAATCCGCTCATGGCGGCACGGCGGCGATGCTAACCTCTAGCTGACAACATGTGTGTCCAAAGCGTTCCTTTCCGCCGAAACGCTAAAATTCTGAAGCCTATTTGCTTCAGTTTCCTGTTGCGGAAATTCTCAGACCTTATTCGATTTTGACCCCACAAAAAGTGACCCCACTCCCTTTTTTTTCACTTGGCCTTAGAGTAGGCGATCTCCGGTTTCTTCTCTAAAAGCAAGTTGTTTTTCTTCGGGCGATGTTTCTCGAGATCCCATCGACAGATTTTCGTGTGGGTTGGAAGAGGTGTCCCTCCTGGCCCCGTCCGCCCCTCCTGCAAGTTTGGTGCAACAGCTCGTCTCTGATGTTGAGAACGCGTCCGTTATTGTATGTCATGTTCGTAGATCTCCCCCGTTCGATTGATTCACCGAACAACCAACTCCCCCCTCTTATTACTTTCTTATTACTTCAGGACCCCCACGGGTCGTCAACAACGACGCAATCCACACGACGCGAAGAGTCACGTTCAGGTCGACGATGCAGGTGGCTGGTTTGCATCGCAATCGACTGCAGCTATCTCCCGAGAACCATGCGTAGAGCGTTAGTTTGTGGGGCGTTTTTGCGAGGCAGGGAGGGGCAGAGCAGATATTACATCCACTCCTCCTCAGGAACGTGCACCGACGATCAGTACCAAAGGGTTCTTGTGCACAATTTACTACGGACCGTTCCAACCATTGGCCTCCATTGTACTGCTGTTTCGACGGGATACATACAACATACATTACGCCGCCGACAACAATTATGCAGTACGCCGCCGACAACAATTATAACGGGTGGACGCACAACAACAACGGATATTTCTCCTTCTAGACTGTCGACGACAACGTCAGGTTAGCTTACCAACCATCGTCGTTCCTCTCTCTATGGTTGTCAACTGCTAATTGACGGAATACCGTACATACCCAGCACGACTGACTGCCAGCAACCATGATGAGTGTAAAGGTCACACGCCCTGCTGACCTCCTATCTTCTCGCACACTTCAGATTGCAGGCATCATGTACGCAACAACAAAACATGCAATGACCACGGAAATATGCAGACATATTATGCATACTGCTATTTTTTTGGTCTTGACTTCAAACAGCGCTCACAGCGCTAGTTAGTGCCGTTTACTCCAACCCGTGGTCACACAGAAGAGCCCCTCTCTACCCTCCCCTCTTGCGGTTCTTTGCCTTCGATTATTAATGCGAGAAGAGTTCAGCGCTCTCTTCCTTCTGTGTACACACGAACCAGCGCTATCCACTAGGCCAGGGGCGGAAGCGAGAGAGCAACTCATTTTGCAAGAAAAGCTCGCTTACGCCGGGATTCGAACCCCTGACCTGACCTTTACCTAGAAGCTTTCGAGGTTACCAACTAGACCACCGGGGCGATTTGCAAGTGTTTTTTGCTGCACCCCACTTGCATACACACACCGGTCGCCCCGGTGGTCCAGTGGGTGATCTCTCAGCCTGCTAAGGGCCAGGTCGTGGGCTCGAGTCCCGACAGAGTGAGTTTTTTCTCGCTAATTAGATCCTGGTCTCCGTTGGAAGCGACGCGCAAGCGCGTTGTTAGCAAACTTGATGGGAAGGGATGTACCCTTCTCGCGATAAAAATATCTCAGGTATGGTCAGTCCAAGACCCAATATCAACAATTGCGACACCCACTTTATGAATTGTTTCTCTGCACCCAGGTGGTTGTTCGCAAAACCGAAAGTACCGGCAAACGCCCTGTTTCCAGGTGCAGGTCCCTGTGGAAAGTTTTTTATTTTTTTCTTGTTGTCGATTTATTTGCAAATAACCGGAAAATCTTG